AACTCAGAAAGCTCAGACTGCCCAAGGAGCTGCTGATTCTGTTCTACCGAGGAATTATTGAGTCTGTCAATTGAACCTCTACAATTGTCTGGTTTGGCTCTGCAACCCAACAAGACAGACACAGACTTCAGAGCATAAATTAGAACTGCAGAAAAAACAATTACTGCCAACCTGCCTTCCATTGAGGAACTGGCCACTGCACGAGTCAAAAAGAGGGCCGTGAAAATATCTACAGACCCCTCACATCCTGGACGTAAATTGTTTAAACTTCTACCGTCAAAACTACGCTATAGATCACTGCACACCAAAACAACAAGACACAAGGACAGTTTTTCTCCCAAATGCCATCACTCTGCTAAACAACTAATCCCCACAACACTGTCAAATTATCTACTAAGACTATATTACTATTATTCTTAGCTTCCTTTCTAGTACCTATCTCTTCCCACTTACAAGTATAACCATGTTGCTTGTATCTTTAAATTTTATTTATATTGTTTTATTTGTTTCCTAGTATAATTTGATTGCTTATTATGACTATCACTAAGTGTTGTGTCTTATGATTCTTGATGAATGCAGTCTATTTTCTTTTTCTTTTATGTACACTGAGAGTATATGCACCAAAGATAAATTCCTTGTGTGTCCAAACATACTTTGGCCAATAAAGAATTCTATTCCATTCCATTCTATTCTATTCTTCATTCCATTGCATTCCATCTATTCTCGTCTCTTCTCGTCTCTCTGACGCACTATACCCACCCCTTGAAGAAGTCCTGCTTGCTGAGCTTCTCCGACTGTACCAGCTGATAGAGCAGCTGGCCCATGTGGTCTCTGGTGATCTGACTCCTCTCCAGGGTGGATTCTACACCGACTTGCACAAACACCGGCAGGATGCCAGGCACATTCAGCTCCTCCACGCACTGCACGGCTTCCTGCGGAGATACCGGGAAGGAGTGGGTTGAGGGAGAGGGGTGGGGCTTCCCTACAGCCTGGATGCCAGCCCCTCGAAGAAGCCGCACAGAAGAGGCGTGGCGTCCTTTGCAGGAGGAGCTTAAGCCCCCTTTGCCTGACATCCTCCTGCGAGGCCTTGAGACCTTCCTAGCCAGGGGTGGGTGGATGAGCCACGCCGGAAGATTGTGAGCTGGCCTCGGCTCAGGCCGGGTGTGCTTCTTGTTTCTTGGACTGGTTTGAAGGCTTCTCTGCCTGCCTGTGAGTTGACCAGCCATAAAGACCCATTAAAGAAAGCCAAATGCCCCACAGCCTTTTACCTTGTAATCATTAATATGCAGGAATTCATCGATGATCGATTTGCACTTCCTTTCAATTTCTTCGTCTGACAAGCCCGGCTTTTCTTGCGGGTGAGGAGCAGGGGCTTCAGACTTGACTGAGGATGGAGGGGGGAAGAGGAGAGAACAGACCCGGCGAATGAGGAAGATTTATGTACTGTGAGGAGCATGAAGCATCTCATTGTTTTAATGAAAAAGCAACTGTCTTTTCCAACGCGGTTGCTTGCTTTTCTCCTTAAACTGAAGGAAGGTGGCTTAATTCGGAAAGAATCCCAGCAAACATCAGGCCCTCGTCAGGCAAGCTCTCAGAGAGAGCTCCCACCCAGGACAGGCAGCCTCGGGCCACTGCAAGCAGAATGAAGGGAAGCCTCCCTCACCTGCCTCCCTGGTTTTGCTCTTCTCCATCTCCGTGCTGTTCCGATCGCTTTCCAGGCCGCCCGTCAGCTGCTTCACGGTCTCCAGCATCTCCCTCCGCTGCTCCTCCTGCGCCTGGTTGTCCAAGAGCTGCTCTTTGCTGCCGCTACTCAGCCTCAGGAAGGCGTTGGGACGGGAAGCAGCCGAGGGCGGCAGCTTGTTGTCGTTCTTCTCTCGGCCGGTGCTTCCCCGACTGGAGGGAAGCAAAAGCAGAAGGGTGAGCGGACGCAGCCGGAGGACTCGAGAGCAGGCCTAGCGCTTTACTCCCGAGCAAGGGTGAAATGCTACTGGTTCAGACCAGTTTCCCTGAGCCAGTTGTAAAAAAATGCTACCAATTCAGGCAAACCGGTAGCTCCGACGATCAGCTGTGTGACAATTAGCTGTGCTGTGCGATTTATACTCGCTAGAAATCACTCGGCACAGCTAATTGTCGCACAGCTGATCGTCGG